AGGGTCATTTCCAACTTTATGTTACTACTTCTGCCGGCTCCAAACATTACATACAGCTGACAAAGCCCTGGAAAGGACCCACTTTATCCCACAGAAGGATGCCGAACTGAGAAGAGACAGGGGTGGTTTCTGTCCCTCGATAAAAGATAGTCTGATACCAAAGATTCTTTGCTCAAGGCACGAATGTACCTGTCTGTGATTTTTTTAATGGTACATTTTAATGCCTTGTAGCACCATCTGTTTTTAAAGAGCGTGGTAAGAGGGCTTGTTATGGCTCCCCACGGGGACCGTGACACCACAGCACAGCACAAGGGAAGGAACTGAATGAAGGCAAGTAAGGGGGAGCCTCGTTATTTTAAGTTTAAAACAATGAAGAGGACCTTCTGACTCTTGCATCACCAAATCTCAGGCACGGATCGAGAGTTTACGGAGTTGGGAACAGGAGCAGAGGGAGAAGAGATGCTGTTGTTGTTAGGTGCCGTTGAGTCGGTTCCGACTCACAGTGACCCTATGTACAACAGAATGCAACACTACCCAGTACTGTTCCATTCTCATGATCGTTGTTATGCTTGAGCCCATTGTTGCAGCCACTGTGTCAATCCATCTCGTTGAGGGTCTTCCTCTTTTTCACTCACCCTCTACTTTACCAAGCATGATGTCCTTCTCCAGGGACTGGTACCTCCTGACAACATGTCCAAAGTACGTAAGACTAAGTCTCTCCATCCTTCCTTCTAAGGAGCATTCTAGCTGTACTTCTTCCAAGACAGACTTGTTCATTCTTCTGGCAGTCCGTGATATATTCAATATTCTTTGCCAACACCATAATTCAAAGGCATCGATTCTTCTTTGGCATTCCTTATTCATTATCCAGCTTTTGCACGCAATGAGGTGACTGAAAATACCATGGCTTGGGCCAGGTGCACCTTAGTCCTCAAAATCACATCTTTGCTTTTTAATAATTTAAAGAGGTCTTTTGCAGCAGATTTGCCCAACACAGTACGTAGTTTGGCTTCTTGTCTCTATTTGATACTTGTGCCATTTCAGGGAAATTCCTTTGCTCAGTTTCCTATAGTTTTAGCCCATGTGTTTCTTTGCCACCTGTACCCTAAGGGAACAAGCTGATTGACTCAAAACACTTTGAGAAAGGTAACCCACACAAATTGTAGTGGAACTGCACTAGGTGAGCACTTGCAAACTTTGACATTTGATCTCTCCTGAACTGTTTAAAGGGAATGACCTTCAAGTGTGCTGGGGCACAGGCAGGGGCTCCTCCATCTTGTCTCTCTTCCTCCCAGTGGTGAACTCCGTTCCAGACCAACCCAGCTCAAAAGCTGACTCTTTCGTGAAGCCTTGACCCTCGCCCACCCTCTGTGGCCCAGAGTACACATCTCTACCAGAGATTTTATCGCTCTGTTCTGGGCTTTAGGTGTCCTTCTTCTCCATTAGATGTGGACTCTCCTCAGCTTTTGTGCCCCACTCTCTTAGGCTTAGCACATGGTATGTGCTTATTAAGGAATAATTATTGAATGAACAAATGTTTCCACTCTTTGGAGCCCATACCTGGAAAGGGAATCTTGTTTTCAAAAGTGAGGATAAACAGAAGAGAAACAATTCTTCTTTAAAGATATTGACTGTGTTTTAGAACACAATTTGTTCCCCAGAGTTTCAAAATATTATTGAAATTCACTTTATCTACGGTGATTTTTAACATCTATTCCAAGCGTACCGTGTAAAAACAAAGAACAATCTTGGCCTTCATGTACTTCTTTTGAACTAACTTTCCAATCCCTATGTTCTCAGCACATCTGCCCCTAAGAAAGAAAAGAACCTTAGGGTTCTCTTGTCATCTCTGTTATAGAATCACCCAGTTTCTCATCTATGGACTTAAAACCTCCTACCTCCCCCTACCCCTTCCCTATCACATGTTTTTCCTTTACCTTGGACTCCAAATAAATTTGGTGTAAAACATATGGCAGGGGTCTTACTCTATTCTCTAATGACTTACGGGTCTACTACTTGTGTTAGGTCCTATGTCAACCATAAGCTACTAGAGGTCACGGGCTGCAATCATGTAGTTCCCCTTGAAAGCACTAAGTTAAGCACTATGCACTTACGGGTGCTCAACAACCCTTTTTGATGATCATAATCAGACTCCACTCTACATCCTGTAATAATATCTCCTCCTCCTGTTTTAACCCCTCACTCCTCACCATCTGTTTTAAAACACAAGGAGTATCAAAAGGCTGAACTCTTCCCGGTACTCACTGGCAACCGTTTCAGTCCCCTTCTGCTCTCCGTTTCACCCACATGAACCCACACACTCCTTCTAGCATTCAGATGCCCCACATGCAACACTGACACTTCTCCACAAAATTCCCTACACCTTAATCTTCAATTTTACAAGTTCAGTGAGTATCTTTTCTTTAGTCTTCCAGAGATCATTCACGTTTACCTCTAGAATAAATGAACACTAGCAACAAAACCCCAAATACATCAATGACAATGTCCCTCCCTACACTACAAAGAAGGAGCCCTAGTGGCATAATGGTTAAGTGCTTGGCTGCTAACCAAAAATCTGGTGGTTCAAACTCACTCAGCAGTTCCACAGGAGAGAAACCTGGCAATCTGCTCCTGTAAAGATTACAGCCTAGAAAAATCTATGGGGCAGTTCTACTTGGTCACAGGGGGTTGCTATGAGTCGAAATCGACTTGACGACTCTTAACAACAACAACAGCACTATAAAGAATCTCTTTTTATTAATCTTTGCATTTATTGGCTGTTTAGCTACCTACCTACCTGCTTCCATGTTTGCTCCACAGAGCAATCAGTCATCCTTTGGAAATGTAAGTCAGACCATGCCATTCCTTTGCTCTATATCTTCTGATGGCTTCCCATCTGAGTAAAACCTAAAGGCCTTATCATGCCCTACAAGGCTATATATATGATCGAACCCTGGCTACCTCTCTGAATTTGTCTTTCCATTTTTCCACTGCTAACTCCACTCTAGTCACACAGGTCTATTTTCCTTAAACATGCCAGACACATTCCATCGTAGGAACTTTGTACTTCTTGTTGCCAGCTGGCTCCTTCCCTTAACATCATTCAAGACTCTGCTCAAAGGTTACTTAAACAGAGAGGACTTCCCTGACACCCAATCTAAAATAGCACTCCACACCATCATTTCTCCATCTCCTCACCCTGCTTTATTTTGCACTGTAGAACTTATTGCCACCTGGAAAATTGTATGTTTAGTTATCCTTTTGTTTTCTGTCCATCCCTTCACAGCCCACCCAGCGCTTACCAAATACAATTCCATGTGTGTCAAGACTTGAGTGTTCTTTCATTACTACACCCATTGCCTGTATAGCAGGCATAACAGGAGCTCAACACATGAATGAATAAATGAACGCTGAAGGTACGAGTGGTGAACATTTATGTTGTTGTTGTGTGAAAGCTAAGGAGAGACAACAGAAGACTGCTTAGTCATAGAATGTTAGCCTGGAAAGAGGCTTAGAGATCACCTGGCCTAACCTACTTATTTTACAGATGAAGAAAATGAGGCCTAGTGAGGGACAGGGCTTGTATACGGCCACCTAGAAATTTAGTTGCAAAGACAGAACTGTAATCTAGGTCTTTGATTCTCAATCTAGGGTTCTTATCTCTACACCATGTAACATCTCAATCGGTCTATACCACATCTGGTCATTTAATACTCAATGGAAATGATTTAAAATATGCAAAGGGAAATTATATAACAACTACACCCAAGTTCCCAAAATCGAAAGCACTCGTTTGCCCTGTAACAGGCTAACTGAACAAGCCCTTCGAGATTTTGTTGGAAGACTCATTTCTGAGCACCTGTCCACCATCATGTGGGCACTGCTAACCTCTCTGCTGATGCATAAATACTGTATTTTCTTTTAGATTCCCTTTTATGAAGAAGCAGAATAATATGGTTTAATGAACACTGAACACTTGGTTTTTTCTTTCTTTCTACAGTACAGGTGAATTGAGTCTGAGGACATTTCCTTTCAAATACAATTGCATTCATGCATTACAAAAATTGTGGGAAAGTATTTGACCAAAAAAAGGTGATAAAACTGTGATTGCAACTCTAGCCATGATCTTATTTAAAAGAGCTCTTTCTGTATTTTAAAAGTCCGCCCTTAGCCGAATCAGTGTATGTGAGAAACAATTCTTGAAGCGTTGGTGAGTATCCAGACTCAATAGTACTGTAATTCAAATTGAGCCAGATGTCCTAATATAAATCTTACGTATTTCCTTATAGATCAACGGTCATTTTACAGAAACTTTAGTGGAGAGTCTAGTGGGGCTACACATAGCACACTAAAATAAAGTCCATTCTAAATACAGCTGTAAAGACTAAAGACATTAAGACTGTACTAAACACATAATCCCCATTACCCTCCACCCCCGAGATTCTACCATCTCATATACACACACACGATATGACTATTATTGGAATAAAATTCTAAAAAAAAAATAGGATTTATACATCCAAATGAGTAGGACTGTACTCTTTAACGTAATCACCTTTGGAAGTTACATATGCATTCCAGGCATTCCAACAAGGCTATCATCATACAGAACTTTTCAGGAGCCCCTATTTTAGAACATAGGTTCTCCAGATCTAATGTGATAAGGATCACCCAAGGAACATGTTAACAATGCAGATTCTTAAAGATTTGGATTCATTTGGTCTTGGATGGGGCTGGAGAATCTGTGTTTTTAACAAGCACCCCAGATAAGTCTTATGCAGGTGATCTGTGAGAAATAATGCTTTAGAACAACCTTTAGAGTCAGTTCACAAGACATGCAAGGATACCAAAATAAAGACTTTGGAATCAAACTCTGTGTACACATACATAAAATGCTGAAGGTTTAGTTTAATTTTTTTTCAAACTCTTCATTCCTTTTCACAGAACATATTAGCAGAGATATGCATGGAAGCATCTATTAAAAAATAAAAACAACATACCTCCATGAAAGAGATTCCTAAGCTCCAGACATCAGAATGGATTCCATACTGCTCCCCTGAAATTCTTTCCGGCTGTAAGAAAACAGAAGGGAGCTCCTGAGTGAATGTAAGCTACTCAAGGAAACACACACACTGAGCACGTGCTCAGCTAAGGCAGGGCGCCGCCAACATTAGCGTAGCATTTTATGAACAGCAAAACAAGTTTATATGTATGTATGGATGGATATGTGTATGTGTGTGAGATATATAATCTCGCTGAATCCCAGGGCTTTGAACTGGTTCTAAACGTTTCACTCACGGCTGATGGAAACAAGGCAGGGCTTTGAACCAGTTGGAAGTGGTTCAGTCACGGCCTATGGAAACAAGGGCAGCATACATGTCATATAGCAACCAAATCTCTTGTGTGTCAGCTTTTGACCCCAGTAGGAAACAGGCAGTGGTGCCCTGCTCAAAGATTGCAGCAGACTGCTCTGCTTTGAATGTGTTTTGCTCTCCACAGTCCTGCCAATAATCCAATCTCCCGCTTCAGGGAATTTTCAGGAGCCTAATGCGGGAGACTGGATTATTGGCAGGACTGTTGAGGGCAACACACATTCAAGGCGGCATGGATAGCCACCATCTTTGAGCAGGGCACCCCTGCCTGTTTCCTACTTGGGTCAAAAGCTGACACACAAGAGATTTGGTTGCTATGCAACACCTTCTCTGCCCGTGTTTCTGTTCGCCATGACAGAACCGCTTCAAACCAGTTCAAAGCCCTGCCTTGTTTCTGTCAGACATGACGGAACTGTTCAAAGGCCTGTTGAATTCTCACAAAGTCCCTACTTTATAGATTAAAAAAACAGAGGTTCAGAGTAGTGAGTAACTTAGGCAAGGTCCTAAGCTAGAAAATGGGCTGAGACTTGAACTCAGGTCTTGTCCCTTCAAGACAAGTGGTCTTAGTTGTAGGGGTGACAAATCACACAACATTATATAACATTACCACTTATTTATATTTTGATAGGTGGGTCTAGAGCACCAGAGTTTCTTTTATTTCTAATTTTTTAACTTTTTATTTAGAAATAATTTGGAACTTACAGGAAAATTGAAAGAATAAGACTAGGACAAAGAACATCCATATTCCCTTCACCCAGATTCACCTACTGTTAACATTTTATTCCATGTATCTGGGTTTCTGTTGACATAAACTAAGGAACACTTTGAAAGGTCCATTTGGGACTGTTGGATGTGTACAATTCAAGATGCGTATCAAACACCTGGTCTAGAAAGTCACTATATGCACACTCTCTACTTCAACAGGAATAATTTTATACTGCAGTGGGTGCTTCCTGCTCTCTCTACCCCTCCAGGATCTGACATTCAGTAGCGTACGTCACAGAAGTCTTTTGAATGAATATATGAATGAATAAATAAGAGAACCTGAAGCCTCAGGGAGGTAGAACGGTTGCCCAAAGTTACAAACCTAGTCATGGCAGTGCTGGGATCATAACCCACACCTCCTGACCCCCAGGACAGCATTCTTCTCTTTGCATCATCCTTGCAGTTCCTGGCACCTACCAGAGCCATTACCCTTCAAGAGCTCCCATGCGAGCCCTTAGGAGTGACTGGAGTCAGGGTCAGCCTGGTCCACTGCAGATGTATCCACCACTGACCAGCAGGGGATATACCAGGGGTGTGGGAAATGTGGGTGAGATGCTCTCAGGTGAGTGGGAACCATCTTACGGCCATTGGCATAGTGTGGTATCCAGGAAGTAGGCTCAGCTGGGACCCAGAACTTCATAACCTTCTTTTCACATCCACCCACCAGGTCACCTCAGTGTACTTGCTGCCTTCTCCTGGGACCACTTTCCATAAAACTAAATTCCTGCCTTGAAGTAGGAGCATGGATTACCTTATTTTCCTTTATTTTTTTAATTTGCAAAACCCCTTTCCTACAAAGAATAACTCTTCCCAAGGGCCAAGTGTTATGCGACCATTTCTCCAAGCTACTAATAGATATGGTCATTCTAATCCCTCACTACTTTTTATTCTATGTTCTGATCTCTGACATCATTTATCAAGTTCCTTGTTCACACGAGTGAACCCATTTTTCAATTCTCACTAATTCAACAGGTACTAGGATATATTCATATGGAACTAGCTGGCCAGTTATAACAGGAGTTATGTCTTCGTCAGCATTGTTGTGGTCATCATCCTCGTTGTCATCATCATCAATACGGTTGTTTGTATTTATTGAGGGATTTCACGTGCCAGCCACTGTTTTAAGTACTTTTCATGCATATCTCATTTCAGATTCACAAACATCCCCATTTAACAGATGAAGAAAATGAGACACAGAGGGGTTTAGTTTGCAGCATCCACCATATGAGAATGATAGTAACAGCTATTGTTTGATGACCACCTACTACATGTCAGACACTACTTCGCAACCTCTACACTCCGTAACAATCCTGCAAACACTGACTTCATTTTGTAGATGTAAAAACAGGCTTCACAAGGTTAAGTGACTTACCCAAGTCTAGACCTGTTGATTAGTGTTAAGTGTTGTCTAGTAGCAGAGCCAAGATTCAAACCCAGGTAAGTTTGGGTGCAAAATCAGGGTTCTTTCCAGTGTGTCAAACTACTCTCAGACCCAGAAGTCAGAAGACCCAAGCACTAGTTGCAATCTAGTCAGTATTCCTCGAAATGTGGTCTTTAGACTATTCATTGTAGAACTGCCTGAGGTGCTTATTACAAACAAACCTCCTGAATCAGAAGCCCTGGGGTGGGTCTGTGGATCTTCATTTTATAAAATAATTTCTCTGGATGATTTTTTTGTATGTTCAAGTTTGAGAAATACGAATACATTCGAAGCTCTAATCACTGAACTTTTCCATGTTCCCTGGAGAGGCAATGACCTTTTATGTCTTCCTGCCTTCCTCTTCTCTGCTTAGCAAATGGGATTCTTACAGACTCTGTTCAAGAGCCACCTTTTTTGGTGAAACCTTCCTCTATTCCTCAGAAGAAACTGAGAATTCTTGCCACTGTACTTCATTTAAATGTTGTTCAAATCCCCGAGACTATGGTCCCCAGCCACCCTGCTAACTCAGAACTGAATCCACTCTTGAAGTCCACCTCTCAGCCAAAGATTAGACAGGCCTATAAAACAAACAGTAACACATGTGAGGAATGTGCTTCTTAGTGCAATCAAGTATATATGAGACCAAACGGGCAACACCTGCCCAAAAGCCAAGATGAGAAGGCAGGAAGGGACAGGACAACTGGACAAAGAGACATGGGGAACCCAGGGTGGAAAGGGGGAGAGTGCTGACACATTGTGGGGACTACAACCAATGTCACAAAATTTGTGTATAAATTTTTGAATGAGAAACTTAATTTGTGCTGTAAACTTTCACCTAAAGCACAATAAAATTTTAAAAAATGTTCATATCTTTAACATTTATTTATCACAGTGTGTTGTGATCATTTGCTTTCTAGTCTGTTTCCCTTGAAGATAAGGAGAATGTGTTTGTTTTACTCATCTCATCTCATACCTAGTACCAAACCAGGCACCTAGCTGGTGTGTAATCAATGGCTGCTGACTGAAGGGATGCAATACACATTTACTGCACGTTTAGTTTCAAGCATGAACTAATAATCAAGTTCTCTGGAGTGTTTTATACCTATTAATATAATTTTCCCATATATTATTGCTATTCACATTCATCAAGAACTTCTAGCAAACATGAAAATCCTAAAGTCCTTTAGACTTGCTGAAGAAATAAAACCATAACCAAATGTTGTCTTCCTCTCTGTCCCTTCTTTCCTTCCTGTCTCCCTTTCTTCATTACACTGACAGTTAGCAATATATATAGCACTTCATCCACAGTACAGCAAAAACTAGCAAGCAATCAAATAGAAGTGTAACCCACACATGAAATATTTTGGCAGTCCCAACATTAAGATTAAATACATTCATTACATTTGCCCACTGAACAACCAAAATAAACACAAACTGCAAGCGGAAAATAATAGAAAAAATAAATTAAAAACTGAAAACATCTAAGAAGTGATAATGTTCACAGATATCAGGTGGCAAATAAGAGAACTCCTTAAGGACAAGATTTTGACAACCTCTCACTGCAGAAAATTACTGTTGTGACCTAACACTTGAGCAAGAATGCTCAGCAAAAGCAGGTGGCAAGCTCTGTGGGTCTATCCTGGAGAATTCCTAAGGTAGACTGAGACTGGGAAATGCACCCAGGTCCCTCAAACTGAATTAAGGCACGAGATAAGCCCCAATACATTCTGAATTTATGGAGCTAGGATTTGATGGCCTGAGGCTGCACAATTCAAAGCTGTTCCCACACTTGAAGCTAAGGTGGCCTGTCCTGTCCTCTCCCCTCTAAAACAAAACAAAATCAACCACCAGATACACACTGCTGACAGATGATCTGTGATGGACATTTTGCAGTTAAAAAGTTAAAGCTCTCTGACATGGCAGCTGTCACCAGTGTAGAAGGCTAAATAATAGGAAAAACGTGACTCTTATCTGAAACATCTCTGTACTAAGGTTTAAATGTAGGGGGAAAATCTAGTCTGTTTTTAACAAGGCATGTAAGGACCGGTGATGATCTAAACAGCAGAATTTACAGAAGATGTTAAAGGGTATAGGCCCCAAGGTGGCACTCACACTCCCCCATCTACCCGAATACAATGATAAGGACACTGAGACTCAGGCCTCCACTTAGTTAATACTTATCACAATTGTCTGTGTTTACAACACAATATCCCAGGGCTCACTAGGCAAAAGTAGGAAGATGTCAAGGTACATTCCTTATCTCTTCTGAAAAAGAAGTTTCTGCTCAGAGTTAGGCTACTCAGAAAACTTATAAAGTATATATAAAGCACAAATACTAGCATGTAATCAAAGTATGTATCACAAACCATGGGGATTTTTTTCTGTTAACGTTACCAAGACCCCTGTGTGAGTAGTACAGCAGTATACTGGTTGAACAAGGGCTCAAGAGTCAGGCTGGCCTGATTCAGACCTACCTTCCAGTTCACTAATTCTCTCTTCTGCTGTATCCAATTTT